GGGAAGAGAAATGAGAACGATGTAAGAAAATCATGAAAAAACAAGTCAACAGCTTGGTAAAGGACACACACACACACACACACACAAATACTGAAGAAAATAACACCTTAAAAAACAGACTAAAGCCCAATGGTAAAAGAAGTCCAAAAAGCCAATGAGGAGAAGAATGCCCTAAAAAGCAGAACTGGCCAAATGGAAAAGGAGGCCCAAAGGCTCACTGAAGAAAATAATTCCTTAAAAATTAGAATGGAGCAAATGGAAGCTAATAACTTTATGAGAAATAAAGAAACAATAAAACAAAACCAAAAGAATGAAAAAATGGAAAACAATGTGAAATACCTCACTGGAAAAACAACTGACCTGAAAAACAGATTCAGGAGAGATAATTTTAAAAAATTATTGGACTACCTGAAAGCCACGATCAAAAAAAGAGCCTAGACATCATCTTTCAACAAATTATCAAGGAAAACTGCCCGGACAGTCTAGAACCAGAGGGTAAAACAGTAATTGAAAGCATTCACCAATCACCTCCTGAAAAATATCCCAAAATGAAAACTGCCAAGAATATTATAGCCAAATTCCAGAATTCCCAGGTCAAAGAGAAAATACTTCAAGCAGCCAGAAAGAAACAATTCAAGTATGGTGGAGCCACAGTCAGGATAGCACAAGATTTAGCAGCTTCTACATTAAAGGATTAGATAGCTTGGAATATGATATTCCAGAGGGCAAAGGAGCTAGGATTACAATCAAGATTCACCTACCAGGGCAGCTAGGTGGCACAGTGGATAGAGCACCGGCCCTGAAGCCAGGAGGACCTGAGTTCAAATCTGGCCTCAGACCAAACACTTGACACTTACTAGCTGTGTGACCCTGGGCAAGTCACTTAACCCCAATTGCCTAAAAACAAAAACAAAGAAACAAACAAAAAAGAATCACCTACCCAGCAAAACTGAGGATAATCCTTCAGGGGAAAAAATGGAAATTCAATGAAATAGAGGACTTTCAAGCATTCTTGATGAAAAGACCAGAGCTGAATAGAAAATTTGACTTTCAAATACAAGACTCAAGAAAAGCATAAAAAAGTAAACAGGAAAGGGAAACCACAAGGGACTTAATAAGGTTAAACTGTTTACATTCCTACATGGGAAGATGATATTTGTAACTCATAAGACCTTTCTCATTATTATGGTAGTTAAGAAGGAGTATATATAGACAGAGGGCACGGGTGTGAGTTGAATATGAAGGGATAATATCTAAGAAAATAAAAATAAGGGGTGAGAGAGGAATGTACTGAGAAAAAGGGAAAAGGAGAGGTAGAATGGGGTAAATTATCTCACATAAAAGAGGCAAGAAAAAGCTTTTCCAGTGGAGGGGAAGATGGGGGAGATGAAGAGGAGTGAGCGAACCTTACTCTCATCAGAATTGGCTCGAGGGAATAACATACATACTCAATTGGGTATAGAAATCTATCTTACCCTACAGGAAAGTAGGAGGGGAAGGGAATAAGAGAGGGGAGGTGTGTGATAGAGGAGAGGGCAGATTGGGGGAGGCAGTAGTCAGAAGCAAAACATTTTTGAGGAGGCACAGGGTGAAAGGAGAGAGAGAATAGAATAAATGGGGGAGGGAGGATAGAATAGAGGGAAATACAGTTAGCAATAGTAACTGTGAAAAAAACTTTTGAAGCAAGTTTCTCCGATAAAGGCATCATTTCTCAAACATATAGAGAAATGACTCAAATTTATAAAAAATAAGAGCCATTCTCCAATTGATACATGATCAAAAGATATGATCAGTTTTCAGATGACGTAATAAAAACTACAGTCATATTAAAAATACTAGTAGTAGTGAGCTAGAGCACTACTGACTGGAGAAATGCAAATTAAAACAATTCTGCGGTATTACCTCATGCTAATAGGACAGAAAAGGTAAATGACAAATTTTGGAGGGGATGTGGGAAAAATGAGACTTTGATGCACTGTTAGTGGAGTTGTGAACTGATTCAACCATCCTGTAGAGCAATTTGGAACTACATCCAAAGGGCTATAAAACCATAGCAATGACCTAGCAATACCACTACTAGGTCTGTATCCTAAAAACAAAAGGGAAAAGGACCTTTATGTACAAAAATATTACAGCAGCTCTTTTCTGAGGAAGCCCATCAATTTGGGAATGGCTGAACAAATTGTGGTATGTGATTATGATGGAATGCTATTGTACTATAAGAAATGATGAGCAGGATGCTCTCAAGAAAACCTGGAAAGACTTGCATGAGCTGATGTAAAGTGAAATGTACTGTGTACACAGTAACAGCAATACTGTGAGATGATCAGCTGTGAATGATTTAGCTATTCTCAGCAATACAATGATCCCAAAGAACTCTGAAGGACTTAGGAAGAAAAATGCTATCCATCCCCAGAGAAAGAAGTGATTGTGTCTGAATAGAGATTGAAGTATACTATTTTTACTTTGTTTATTTTTGTTGAGTTTTTTTGTCTATGTTTTCTTTAACAACATAACTATTATGGATAGATTTTGCATGACTACACATGTATAAACTATATCAAATTGCTTGCCTTCTCAATGAGGGGGGTGGGGAGGAAGGAAAGGAGAGAATTTGGAACTCAAAGTTTTAAAAACAAATGTTAAAAATTGTTCTTACATGAAACTGGGGAAAAACAAAATACTTAATAAATACAAAAAAAAAGAATTAAAAAAAAAAGAAATTATGAGTAGGATGCTCTCAAAAAAAAAAAACCCCAGCAGTAAGCAATTGAGCTAAGAACTGAACCCAAGTAATCTGGTCCCAAATACATGTTTTTCTTTGTTTCCCACTGTCTCCTCTATGTTTTGTATGTGTATGTATGTATATGTATATACATGTGCATACATACATACACTTACACATACACACACTCCATTGAGGGTAAAAACTATGTGTCTATTTCTCCCCAGCATTTACTAAGAACTCAATAAATACTTGTTTGCTTGATCGATGTGGTTTATGAGGGGTGAAAGTATCAAAGATAACAGCCAAAATTTGAATATGGGAAATGGGGTGAATGGTGGTACCATCAACAGAAATAGTGGTATCAGAAAAAAGAAGAGGTTTTGAAGAAAGAAAATGAGTTTGGGACATGATGCAACAGTGGGCCACCCAGAGGGAGATGTCTTATAGACAGCTGGAGAGGAATGTCTGGAACTTGGGAAATAACTAAGGGTTAAAGATAGAGTTCTGGGAGTTATATGCATAGAGATGATCCCTGAAGTCATGGCAGTTAAGGAAGATTCAGGGCAGAGAGAGTAGAGACAAGATTATGAGTGGTGAAAATAATAGGAGCTTAATGTATTTATAGAACACATGCAGAAAGATGCCTTTTCCTAGAGCTACTAATGAATTTTTAAAAGAATTCAGTTTTGTTGACATCTTTGGTCATTACATTATATTTATTTACGGATATCACCACCCCCTAGCGGTGAGTCTTCCTTTGAAAAAAGAAAACCCAAGCTGTGACATCAAATGTAACATTCTGCATGGATTGTCTCCCACCTTGCCAAGAAAAGGAAGGAAGTACATTGCCTCATTTCTTCTCCAGGTCAATTTTGCCTCACACAACTATCACACAACTACTGATGACCTTTTCTTTATTGTGTTGGACTGACAAAAAGAAGTGAGGTAGTCCAGGAGGGCCCTTTTGGTCTGTTCTAGTCCTTACTGATGGCAAAAAGCTTAGGAAAACCTCCAAGGACAGGACTATGTCCTCACTTACCTGGGCAGGGAGATAGGGAAAGTGCCTAGAGACTCTGCACTATTCCTTAGTAAGGAAACAAGAGAACTCCTGGTCAGGGAGTGGTAACAGCTGACAGTAGCCAAAAGGGAAGTAGCTAGGCTAGTAGAGAGAAGAAAAGGAAGAGGTGGATTGTGCCCAGCAAGAGGCCTATGACTCTCTGCTGGAGTGAGGGTAAAGTTTACGTATCCACACTCAACAACCACATGAAAAATGGGGATGGCTCAAAATGACTAATGAGAGAAATGCACGTTGAACAACTCTAAGGTTTTACTTCACACCAAACTGTTAAAGATGACAAAAGGAAAAAAGTTGAAGCTGAAGGGGTTGCAGGAAAGTAGGCACACTAATATAGTAGTGGTGGAGCTGTAAATTGGTTCAACCCTTCTGGAAGGTCATCTAGAATTATATGAGAAAAATTAATAAACTATTCATATGCTATGACATCAATCCCATTTTTGAGTATATGCCCCATAGAAGTCCACCACTAATTCCAAAGTCACAATATAGTCAAAGCAGCGCTTTTTTTGGCAACAAAAAACTGGAAACAAAAGTAAGTGTTCATGGATCGGAGAATTGCTGAACAAATTGTCATGGAATATCACAGCACCACATTAAATGATGGTAGAATCAAATACGAGGAATCCAGACAACTTAGGAAGACTTACGTGAACCGTGAAGCAAGCAGAATCAGGAGCCTAAAAGTGAGTTTAATCACATAAAAAAAACAGAATAAAGCCAAAGGAGGAGTAACTGTAATGACCAATTTTGGACCCAAAGAAGAGAAGGAAATGAGCTCTCAGCAGAAGGAGAACACAGAATGTTAGACACATTCTCAGATGCTGGTTGTTTTTTGATTAGCTCTTTCTTATTTCAAGGAAGGGTTCATCTGGGATGTGAAAATGACTATGATGTAAAAATCAAAGCTATTGGTAAAACGTTTTTAGAGAAAGAATCCATGTACCTCCTTAACCCTATCCTTTGTAATTTTATGGGTTTTGCTCCCATTGCTTCTAATTTTAGAGACTACTCCCACTGCTTTTGGCTTTCTAGAAGGAAGTGAACTCTCACAGAATATAAACCCCAATTGTTTTTTAGCCAGTGATTTTCTGTCTCACTCCATTCCCTCATCCTAGCTCCAGTCTCCTCTATGCTCATCCAACCTACTGATGTCTGGTGCCTCTTAGGAAGGAGGATGGAAAGAGCCTTACTCACTGATTCACCACTCCAATAATGCCCAGCTTCATGGGGATGACTCGACCCATCAGCACATCCATTGCATCTGTCCCAGCATCCATGAGGTCCAGCTTAGTGATCACTACCAAGGTCCTGCGACCTAAGAAGTAGGAAGGACAAGTATAGCTTGTGACCTCTAGGCCCAACTTCCAGAGGTGATTTTAGCAATTTAAGGAGGAATGGGATATCTGTCCCATGCATGAGCTGGGTGGGGAGAGCTGAACATCCTCTGGACATAAAAGCTGCTCTCACATAATTTGCCAACTGCTGAGGCCAGGACAGGTCTTATCAGGGGTGCAGTAAATGTATATGTCAGGGGAATGGGCCAGTGAACATAGTTTTTAGCCCCAAAGACAGGAGTAGGCAGCCCTAAATGGGAAAAGGGCACTGGCACCCTTCCCTGATGTCCTTTCCTAATAATGATACTGATGTCCAGGAAAGGAAAATCCCAGGCTTAGGGGTGAGGCCTTGAATCAGAAAGCTGAAAGAAGCCACAGGTAGCCAATCTGGTTCAAACTCCATGTTTTATAAAGGAAATAAAGCTAAGTGGGTCAAGTGCCTTGCCCAAAACCATGTAGAGTTACTAGCCGAGCCAGGTTTCCTCCCTGTCAGTGGAATACTCTTTCCATTACTAGCTCTCCTCCACATACACACCCAAGCACTCCAAGCGCCGTACCTTCAGGATCCACATCCCAGGCAAGTTTCAAGGCTTCAGAAGTGGCCATGTCTGTGTTGGCAGCAATGACAGCCAGGATGAGACAACTGGGACTACTGATGTAGGACAGGATCATGTCTCTGACCTGCACCTCGATGTCAGGGGGCTGGTCCCCCACAGGGACCTGGCAAGAGATAAGGATCAGAGAAAGCCAGCTGCCCTTGGAAGCCGAATCAGGGACAGTCATGACCAGCCAAAAAGGGTGGGCAAGGGCAATGGCAGCTATGAGAGATTAAGAGGTAATACTTAGTCCCAGAGTCAAACAGAACGATCTGCCAGTTCTGGAGCTTTTTCAGTTTAGGGGTAGGGGGAGAGAGAGACAGAGAAAGAGAGAGAGGAGAGAGAGAGGAGAGGGAGAGAGAGAAAAGAATTAAGCAATGCTGAATACTCACCAAGTAAGGCATTTTTTTTTTGTGGGGCAATGGGGGTTAAGTGACTTGTCCACGGTCACACACCTACTAGGTGTCAAGTATCTGAAGCCACATTTGAACTCAAGTCCTCCTGACTCCAAGGCCGGAGCTCTATCTACTGCGCCACCTAGCTGCCCCCAAGTAAGGCATTGTTAAGGCCATTCTAGGAAGGCCTCTGCCATCTCTACCCCAATCAATCAATAAACATTTGTTAAGTGCCTACTATGTACCAGGTACTATGCTAAGCTAGGTATAAAAAAAGAGGCAAAAGACAGTCATTGCCTTCAAGGACCTCACAGTCTAATGGGAAAGACTACATGCAAACAAACATATACAAAGCAAGCTACATACAGGATAAATAGGAGATAATTAACAGAGGGAAGACACTGGAATTAAGAGGAGATGTAGAAGGCTTCCTGTAGAAGGTGGGGTTTTAGTTGGGACTTAAAGGAAGCAGGCTGGCAGGCAGAGTGGAGGAGAAAGAGTGTTCCAGCTATGGGAGACAGCCAGAGAGAATGCCCGGAGCCAGAGATGGAGGGGCTAGTTCATGGAATAGTGAGGGGGCCAGTGTCACTGGATCAAAGAGTAAACGTCAGGGAGGAAGGTATAAGAAGACCAGAAAGGTAGGAGGGGGCTAGGTTAGGAAGGGCTTTGAATGCTATTCTGTATTTGCTCCTGGAGGTGATAGGGAGCCACTGGAATTTATTGAGTAGGGGGAATGACATGATCAGACATTTATTTTAGGAAAATCACTTTAGTGGTTGGAGTGAGGACAGACTAGAGGTAGGCAGACCCCTTCCCCCAGCAGCTACTATAACAGTCCAGGTGTGAGGTGATGAGGCCTGCATCATGGTGGCAGTGGCAGAGGAGAAAAGAAAGAGTATTAAAGAGTTGTTGCAAAGGTGAAAATGAAAGGCCTTGGCAAGAGCTTGAATATGCATGGTGAGAGAGTAAGGAGTCCAGGATGCCTCCTAGGTTGTGAGACTGAAGAGTGGGGAGGATGGTGCTACCCTCTACAGTATATGGAAGGTAGGGGGTGGGGGAGGCTTAGATGGAAAGACAACAGTTCTGTCTGGGACATACTGAGTTTAAGATGTCTACTGGAATCAGGTTCAAGATGTCTGAAAGGCAGCTGGAGATGTGAGACTGGAGGTCAGTAGAGAGGTTGAGGCAGGAAAGGTAGATGGGAGAATCATCAGCATAGAGATGGTCATTAAATCCAAGGGAGCTGGTGAGATCACCAAGTGAAGTAGGATGCAAGGACTAAAGAACAGAATAAGTACTTAATAAATGCTTCTTTTAAGTGCCTTCTTTTCTTGGCTTGCCACTTAACATTCACCATGATTGACTGCTGCCCACCTTCCCCCTAGCCTTTTTAGCCTTGGCTTCCACAACACTGCATTCTCATGATTCTCTTTTCACTTCTGATGCTGTTGCTTCCCTAGCTGGCTTGTCGTCTCATCCCTTAATTCTGGGTTGTGACCTGGGTCTTCTGTTCCTATTTCTCCCCCTTGGGGAGATTATTTAATTCCTACGGCTTCAAGCATAACCTCTATACAGATCTCTACCCCACATCTCTATAGTTCTAACCTCTCCTTAGAGTTCATCTCTCTACCTGAATACTGCTGACCCCCTAAACTCAACACATCTAAAATGGAACTAACCTTCCAAAATTTGCCTCCCATCTTCCCTCCCCCCCACCCCATTTCTGTGGATGGTCCCAGCATTCTCTGTCACCCAGACCCATAAACTCAGAATCCTCTCTGACTTTTCCTTCTCCCTTATTCCCTATACCCAATTAGCTGCCAAGTCCTGGCCTAGACTATTAGAATTCCCTTTGGGCCTAGACTATTAGAATTGCTGGTCTTAATCTCCCACTACAATCTAACCTTCATACCATTTTTCAATTTTCTGAAAACACCACTCTGATCACAGGATAATGGACTGAGACCTGGAAAAGACCTAAGTCTCCAACCCAGAATCTTCAGTGGCTCCCCATTTCTTACTGAATTCAGTAATTCAGTATTCACATAAGAATTCAGTAATTATAAACTCCCTCCACAATCTTGCTCCAAGCTACTTTTCTATTTTTGCCTCATATTCCCCTTTGTGTATCCTAGTCAAAGTGGAATACTTTCTCTCTCCAGCTCTGGTTGTGCCCTAAGGGAAGACTTCCCCCATCTCTGCTTCAGTCTCCCCTTCCCTTCCAGGAGTAAGGCCAGCTGCTACTTCCTCCACACATCCTTTCCCTAGCTTGCCCAGCAAAAGCAATACAGTGACCATCAGGGTTGTGCTAGAAGCTAGCTCTTATTGGTTGGTGAGAGCTGATGGCTAATTTTTTTTTGGGTAGACAATGGGGTTAAGTGACTTGCCCAGGGTCACACAGCTGGTGTCAAGTGCCTGAGGCTGGATTTGAACCCGGGTCCTCCTGACTCCAGGTGCTCTATCCACCGCACCACCTGGCTGCTCCTGATGGCTAAATTTTCAATGTGAGCACTGACCCCTCAAGAAATCAGCAAAGGCTGCAAAAGAGGGCTGAGTTGTTTTGTTGATTGTCAGACTTAAGAAAATGATAGTGAAAATGTTCATAATGCAATTTCAATTTATAAGTGTTGTGCATTTTCAGAGAGCTGGTTGTTAAACATTTTACCAAAACACTCCTGGTGACAACTCATCTTTCTATACCACTTCAGGATGTACAATAGTGGACTCCCTCTCCTCATGTGGTTCAGAGTTTTGATCACATCTCTCCTTCTCTCCTTCATACAGGTTTTCCTCTCCCTTACATCTGAGCAATTTGTGTGCATGTCTTTTCTGTCCATGTTGGGCTGTTAAGGTCCTTGAGGACAGGGTCTGTGTTGCAGCTCTCCTCGTACTGTGTGTCTAGCACAAAAGTTAACCCCTGCCTAATTTTCTATGAAATAGTTCCCTGTGCTATTAAATAAGAAAATCTGTGTTCAATGTTCCTTTTTTTCTTGATGATTCATCATGAGCATCATGAACATGAAGCAGGGGCCCTTGGATCTGTTGGCCTCTACACAGTGGACTATTTATACCAAGTTACTGTGCTTTCTCCATTGTCGGCCTTTGAATCCCTCTCCCATGCTGTCATGGTGCCACTTGCTTCTAACAGGAGCCTTTCCCCTCCCCCTACAGCTAAGTTGCTCTTTCTAATCTGGTTACATTTACCAATCAGGCTCTGATTTAGGACCTGAATGGGACTGTCCTCTGAGTAAAACTGGAGTGATAGAGGATGGACTCTGAAATGTCTCTTTGGATGCTCACAGTCCTTCCCCCCCCCCCCCCACAAGTGAAATCACAGAAGGCAGCAAAGAGCAGAGATCTCCTTACAAGACCCACAAATGGAGAAGGAGTTAATGTGTGCCTCACCTCCTCTATTAAACTGCGCAATCCCTTTGGGCATCTCCCACCTCCCTTGACACAGAGCTTGTGTCTAATCCATCAGGGCTTGCTAAAGGAACAATGAAGTCCATGAACTATCATGAAATAGTTGGACAACAGGAGGGAAGGTGAGAGCCAGTCCACCCTACTGTATAGGATTCAGGGAGAGAACATACCTTGGTGATTCCAGGCAAGTCAACCAGAGTCAAATTGAGGACTTTTGAGGAATAGATTTTCAGGTACAAAGGCTCAGGACTGATCCCCTGGAGGATAAGAGTTAAGGTCAGACCCCCTGTGCTTGGAAAGGGGCAGAAGTAAAACAGAGAAGTGTCTCCTGCATTTACCTTATTAGTACCGGCGACCCAATCTGTCTCATCAGAAATTTCCTGTTGGATTTCTTTAAAATCTGTAAATGACTGGAGAGGAAAGAGAATTATCCATTTGGAAAGGTTTCGAGTTAGAAGTCACTCAACACAGACCATGTCCTCTGCTTTCAGACAACACTGGGGCAGGGGCAGCATTACTCTCAGACTTCCACGTAGCCAGTAGGCTCAAAGGTGAACTGGGAAAGGGTGATGTTCATAAGAAGGAGAGGAAGATTCCAACCAACGATCCAGTTTTGCAAATACGCTGGTTTGGAGTGGGTTGGATTACCTTATGTTTGCAATGCAGGAAAGTGGCCCATTCCTCCGCCTGGATACCTGTGTGGACAGGAAGAAAGGGGAAGGTCACTTCCCTTGTCATTACCAATCATCTCTTAAGGAGAGGAGAGTGGGATGAAGGGACACTTGCCCAGGGCAGAGCCATTTCTATCACCCATTCCAAGACACAGCACCACTCTGGTGAAGTAGAATGAATGCTGCATTTGGAGTCAGAGACCTGTGTTCAAATCCCAGCTCTATGACATCATCTTTGTGGCCTCAGGTTAAGTCTGGGCCTCGTTTCCTTATCTGTAAATTGAGCAGGTTATACCAGAAGGTCAATAAGGTGTTTTCCAGCTCTAAACCTATGAGCCTACAGGGCTTGGGTGCAGGTCCCATTCATTAGCTACATTCCGGTGTGGGCCAGTCTTTCAAGGCAGGAGGTAGCTGTGGCCCTGCTCTGCCTCCCTCCCTTCCCCCCCCATGCCCATTTCCCTTATCCTCACATGTCTCTGAGGTGGCCGTTTGCTTCCGTTCCTCCAGGGAGGCTACGTGCACCAGCTGGAGGATCAGGGGTCTCCGAGTCACGATTCCAGAACCTCTTGGAAGAAAGTCTTGGCCCAAAATGATTTCCAGAACAGAGCTCTTTCCACTGCTCTGTAATAACACAAAGGTAAGGGAGATGGCTTGGGGACTTTTGGGAGGTAGTGTGCTTCCCATTGCCAACTTCTACTCTGAGCCAAGCCCTGCCAGGTCACCCCTGGTTTGACAATCTCAAGTTAAATACAGGGCTGCAGTAGGGTACAGCAGAAAGAGCACTGGATTTGGATTCAGAAGGTCAGGGTTCAAGTCCTCCCTCTGCCACACTGGGCAAGTCTCCCTGGGCCTCAGTTTCCTCATCTGTAAAATGAGGTTGTAGTTTAGCTAGCCTTTCAGACCCCTTCTAGCTAGTCTGAATCTAGGATCCTACAGCAACTCCAGGCCTTTCCAAAGGAGGGAGGTCCCCAACACCCTCAGAACCTTCTCAATGAGGCATGGACTAGGGGAATGCCTATCCCTGCCCCGCCTGCATACAAAAGCAAGCTCCTGGGCGTCCCTGAGTATACCCAGTAGGCGCTCCATACAGGGCTAAAGGTAGCTGAAGCCCACCGGATGGGGGCGCACCTCAGGTTCTGCTTCTCTCAGAGCGCAGCCCCAGGGCTTGAAAAATTATGGCTGCCACTTCAATGGGACCAGCCAATGGGTGTGAGGGGCAGAGGGTGAGCAGGAGAACCTAGGCGGATGCTGGAGAGGGGAGGAGCCGGAGGAGCAAGGTGAGAGGGGCCAAGAAGGAGTAGCCTGCCCCACCCTGACCAGGCTGGGGGAGGGGAGAATGAAGGGCCTAGCAGAGTGAGGGAAATGGGAGCTAGGCCCGAGGGGGGGAGGGAGGAGCTAGGCCCACTGCTCCCCCCCACACCCCACCATCCCCAGGGGAAGAGAGTAGGCAGCACGTGGGAGCCAATGACCACGATCTGCGGGAGCTGGATGGCCTCCGTGCCCACTGTATTGAAGATCTCTTGCAGTTTATTGATCACAGGGATCAGGGTCTCCATGGCGGTCTCGAGGCTGGCAGCTCCGGAACTGGCTCAGCGAGGATCTGAGGAGAGAAAAGTTTATCCACATCAGATGAGATCTGCTGTCGTCATCAGGCTGCCCCCCCCCGTCCCAGCAAAGCCAAGGCTGGGGTGCGGTTTCGGACCTCGCCCCCAGCACCCACTTCCCCACCTGCACTAAGAAGCTCCACTCACCAAGCGCCCCTGCACTTGTACTTCTACGACCCAGTATGGGTCTTTCTCATTGGTTGAACTTCGCCTAGCTCCACCCCTGGAGTCCCTATATATGGTGAGGGTAGGCGCTCTGCAGGGCTTCTTAAACTTTTTCCACACAGGACAGCTTCAGTGCTCCTTAAACTGTGGGTGACCCCAAATGGGGTCCTGCTAGGCTCGGCCCCACCAGGGAATAAGCTAGAGCTTGAGGCTGAACCCTGATTGGCTAAGACCTCTCCCCCCCTTTCCCCTCAACACTAGATCCAACCTCTCAGTCCTCAATCCCAGCCCTTCTCACCTCTATTGACCCTTGCTGAGGCAGCTGGTGGCCCTGTGAACAGAGAGCTGGGCCTGTAGTCAGGGAGACCTGAATTCAAATCCAACTACAGACACTTCCGAGCTGTGTGACCCTGGGCAAGTCATTTCACTTCTATTTGGCTCATTTACCTCTGAGAATTGTGTGGATCAAATGTATAGTAGGTGCCATATAACTGCTCATTTCTTTCACTGGTTTTTCTTTTATTTTTTTCTCTTTTTTTAATTTCAAGTTCCAAATTCTCTCCTTCCCTGCACCCTCTCCCCCACCCATTTAGAAGGGCAAGCAATATATATATATTATATATTATATATATTATATATTATATATATTATATATTAT